TATTTGGTTAATATATATATATATATATATATATATATATATATATAATTGTTTTTTTTTTTTTTTTTTAAATTCAATTTCCCTTCTGCAATACAGTACAAAACCTATACCCACCATATACTCACGGTTTCAACCACCGAAACCCTCAATTTTTTTTTCTCATCTCCCAATTCTTCTCATTTTGTCTTTCCCACGAACCTTTCTCCCCAACCCGTCCCTCTCTCCCACGACTTCAGCCCCTCTAAATCTTTTTTTCTCCCCAAAACTCCTCTCGTCTTCCCTCTTTTATTTTACTCTAATCATTTGCCTATTTCATTCAATTTCTCCAAGACTTATTCCTATCCATATCTTCTGGAATTTGGGGCGAGGATTTTCGAATTCATAAGAAAATCAGAAAAATTGAAAGCAAATCAAAGGAAAAGGGAGCTAGGGTTTCAATGGATGATAATGATGAGAAATCGTTAGTTGAAGCCGATTCGGTGGAGTTTTGGCGAGGAGGATACATCTTTAGGAAGCCCTCGACATAAGCTAATTTTCCGGTGTTGGTGGTCGCCGAAATTAGAGGTAATTAGACTTTGAATTTCGAATTTATCTTTTGTAGAAAGTTGTAGAGCAGGCCAAGTTCTATTGGGATAACTATTTTTCCCCAAATTCAGACTACTGTACGAACATTCGAAACCAATTTTAATCCGACAGTTATATCGGCGGAATTTAAAAAATAATAAACCTTTTGCCGCCTTCGTTGTTGGGGCTGAATTTGAGGGGTTTAGAGTTAGAATTTTAAAACAGTTTCTTGTTAAAAATAGTAGATAGCATGGAGAAGTTTAAGGATGTTCTGAATTTTACCCTTGTTGATAGAGTTTTACGGTCTGTTCGAAGTGGGAAACGAGCGAGTCTGAATCTGCCAATTCTGGCAGATTCTGTAGTCAATCTTTCGGGTCTGTTTATATGTGTAGTGTTAATATTTTGGGGTCAGTGTGTAGTGTGGAATTGTAGATGAAGTTGTGATATTACGAAGATAATGCATCTACGCTTGGACTAGAAATAGATTTTCAATATGAGTTATAATTAAAACATTGGTATGTTTTTAATATGAACTAGCCATTTTTCACTAAAAACATTTCTTCCGTAATTACTTGGTGGTGGCAGAAAGAAATCAGGAGCAGAGTTGGAAGAAAAGGAATTCGTACTTGTTCGGGAGTTTCAGTCAATCATCCATTAGTGCAGGTAATCATCAATTGTGTTCTCCTCGTCTTCACGTTTCCTATTTTTTTCGACATCCCATTGTATCCAATATTATTTTTTTTTGTAATTTATAGATTTCATGATTTTGTTATATATTGAAATTTCCCTAGGGGTTATTTGATTTTTAAAATTGATAAGTTCTCTGAAATTACATGCTATAAATTTTTTTTGGGTTAAAAGGTGTTTGATATTATATTCAGTTTTGTAGAAATTGGAGTTCTACAGTCAATTTACATCAGTTATTTTTTTATATAGCATGATTCTTTATGATGATGAATATGTTAGAGTAGGTGACCGGCAAGCCAACTTGTGGTTGTGGTCCTTCTCTTTTCCTTGTAATAAAACAATCGTTTTTCGTTCGTAGTAATAAAATATCTTATTTGGCATTCTATATCTGTTATCCCATGCAAGCAGCATAGATATAGTCCTAACGAGTTACTCTATTACTGTGAGTTGATCTAGTAGAATCGTGAGATAACTCAGCAAT